CAGAATAATCTGTATAAGATGCCACAGGGTTGCGGTCTTGCGCCAGGGCGCCTGTTTACGCATAGAGGAAATTCTTCTAGGCAATTAAATATCTCTTGAAGTCGCAGTTGGTTTAATGCGAATCCTTTAACAAATAAATGGAACAAGTTTACATGTTTATGTTATAAAAAATAATTGTTTAAATCTTATGCTAGGATATAGAATAAAACCACAACTATATATAAAAAGTAATTAACAAGCTAATTCAAAAAATTTCGTTGTCTACGTGGTTGGGATGCAATTATTTGTGGAATATTGCAACTGTCATGATTTGAATAAACTTGAATATATACTACCTGAGGATACTTCCATGTGAATATATATATAATAATCGTGGTCCAGCTGTTCTTCTTCAGAATATTTTAAAAGATTTTTCATAGATAATACCATATAAAACTTCGATCTCCTATTGTGGCCCCACCCCTTCTCTGGAACCTTGATTTGAACCAATTTGAATCTAACTATGTCAGCTGGGGACTTTCTTCTAAATTTTGTCTTTTCTGGCAATGAATTCCTGAGAAATATTTACTTATTATCTCCTTTTGAAAGAGGGCTTGGCTCTTTATTTGAATAAAATCGAATCCCATTCAACCATTTGTGCTTTGTGGCAAGTTTGGTTGAAAATGGCCCAGTGGTTCTTGAGAAAAGGTCAAAAATAACTAGGGATGTCAATTTTGTCAATAATTCATATTCGAATATTCAATAAAAGTATTCGAATATATTCGAATATTCGATAAAATAAATAAAATCTGTTTTATTTTAAATATGCATCATCCTACTCTCGTAGGTATACTTATATAGGAAGTAAAATTGTATGAAGACTTTTGTAGGTGTACAATAAGAAATTCCATTTGATATTTGTCAATGTTTGAAATAAATAATTGATTTGAATGTAGAAAAGTATAATTTTAACAAATGAAACGTGTATTTATAGTAGCCCCACTTGAGGAACCAGTCGTCTCACAAAAGGCAAGATAGCCGTAACGGTATACTGTTCAGATTTCAATACGTGTAATAAATTACAATTATCTGCCTGCTAAGAGATATGATTATAATCTTTGATACAATGTAAACAAATATTTCCATAGACAATTTTCCTAGGTAATTAACTGTTTTCCCGATAATGAATATAAATTATGTACAACCCGAGATAATCAAGTAATTTACACATTTATTCTGAAATTAAGCCTTTTACAATATTAATTGCAGATTAATTCTATCGGACATTCATTCAATGATCAATTGATTTTATTTTGATAAGTATACTCTTCACGCCTTTTAGATATTCTTAGATTTCATTTGTTTTCCTCGATTCTAGATCCGTTCGTATCTATAACTAATAAAAGCTATGAAAGTACGCTTTGTATTATACATAAGGCATTATTGTACAATTCTTTACAACACCTTACTCAAAACAAAATACATGTAATTTAGAAGATTTATAAGATAAGAAAGTAATGAAAGAAATCAGTCGATCGAAATTGATCGCTAGTAAATTAAACAGGGATAATTCCAGCACTGTTCTTAGCAAAATTTATTAATCACAGTATACTTCTTTACATGAAATCTGAAAAACACCGAATATTCGAATCTTAAATTCATATTCGAATATCAACTCATCGAAGGAATATTCGAATGTTCGAATATTCGTTGCCATCCCTAAAAATAACAAGTTTGCAGACGGACGGACAGACTGGCGGACGTCGGACAAAATGTGATCAGAACAAGCTCACTTGAATATGTTAAATATACAAAATTTATGTGTTTTTCCTATGACATACCTGAATTTCCGGTTACAGGCTGGAAGAGAGTTTCACCATTCCAGTTACACAGAAATCTTCCATGCTGTATAACGTGGGCTTGTCTGTTTGGACCGTCTTCCCATAAGAAGGGGAAGAGTGTATCACGCCAAACAAGCACAAATTTATACTCAAACTTTATATCAGATGGCACATTTAAACCGACGACCCATTTCCCGGAATTCTTTGGTACTTCTTCTACAAGAATACACAAGGTCGTTCAAACCATGTTGAAGAAATGGTGCCGAGGAATAAAGATAATTTAAAACAGTTTAAAAAAAAAAGATAGAAGATAGAGGATGGAGAAATACCGCTAGTTCTCATTATCAACTGTTGCGATTGGAAGTTGAAGTTGAAAACTTACACAGGAAATCATATTTATGCCAGATTCAATTCTATATTTTTACTAATAAATGAATTCAAATTGAGTGAGTAAAATACATGGGTCTACCCTTGCGAATTTTGCCTAATTGTAAGCTAATCAGATACATTTGTCATGAGAAGGAAGAGCGTTCTCCAAGATTTAAACTATAAGGTTAACCGAGTACTACACAGAATTTTTTCCGGAGGGGGGGGGGGTGTTGGTTGGCCACATGCCAGACTCGGAAATTTTCTGACGAGGGGAAAAACAAATTGCTGAAATTTAAAACCAATTTCGGGGAAGAGGAAAGGAAGGGGGTAAGGAGAAGAAACTTCCCTTAGTCAAATTTCTTCAAATACATTACTTTCCTTGCCGTTTTAAGAAGGGTCCGTGTTTTCTTTGTGAGTCCAAGGTCATTTTTCGTTACGTTACAAAGAAATTTAATAGCTCTGAAAATTCCAGTGGAAGGGGCCTGAATTCTTTCACTCTAGATCCGAGACTGCTACATTTCATTTTCCCTCATTTGATTCGCCAGGTGTATACATGTAGCAGACAACGGTACTACCAAAGACACGCGGTCCTTCCCCGCTCCAGGAAACAATTCAGCGAGTCTGTTCTTCTTATGTTTAATAATGCTACGAATTTTCTAACTTTAGTAGATAAGTCTATATTGTCAATGGGTTTGAGTGCGGACTGGATAAAATGGAGGTAGGAGAAAGAGCAGCGATTGGAATAAAGAAGATGGAGGATGGAGAAATACTGAAAGAAGCAGGGAAGATAAGAAGATTCGTTTCGTTTTCGAGATACGTAGGAAGAGGGAGAAGATAGCAAGTCGTGAGGGAGAAGAGAGAAATAGAATTGGAGATGAGGGGATAGAGGGCAGAAATAAGTGGAGCACATCCTGTCCGTGTGTTATTTATCAACATCTGAATTCTGCAAGTCTTGAAGAACGCTTAAATCTAGAATACATGTATACGAGAATTACTTAATTAATTAATTGGCCAATCCAGCTCTAATAATGGTTTGCATAATTTGTATATATATAATTAACACCAATATTGTTTAGACTTGGCATTGAAAAACCTTAAATGTTAAATATATACACACCACAAAACAGTTAAAATTTTATGATACATGTATATCTACCAAAGCCAACTAAATAAAGAAAATGAAATTTTTATCAAACAAATTTGTCGAGATCACATAAAACCGAATTTACCGTGAAGATGGTTGTAAGAAATCGAGCCCAGATTATGTTTTTAGTAGGATATATAACATATATTAGATGCCATCGTAAGCCTCAAGTACGAAGTCCATTTTAAATAGAAAATTAAAAGAAACATTAACCTGAAACTTTGACTTAATTCAATGACAGCGACTTTAGTTTCTTTTTAACAAATCCGCCGGTAACCAAAATTAGCAAGTCGTTGTTCGAAGCGTTTTTCTACACATACCTGCAATCAATCCCTCATTAACGTTCCAGTTCCCTAACTGGGGGATGGAACCAGTAGCAACTAGTGCCAGCTTTGTCTTTGGAATATTGCACTCGCATTCCATTTCAATTCTTACCAAGTCGCACACAGCCATAATTGTTTCCACTTCGTGAAACTATGCAATCAATTGTGACGTCAATGAGACATAACTATGACGTCTCCTGTGATCTTTCATTATGACGTATCTTTGTACATAAAGAAGAAAACTGGTTACAATTTGTACTGCAATTATACTAATCCTTCTATAAAAGTTTCCCCTATTAAGGACATGTGCAACATATTTTTTTAATTTTAATTACTTATTCCCCAGCCATTTAATGTAAGAGTTTTCAATATTTGAAGGGTCTTTTGTGCGACTTTTATAATGTCTGATTATGCAGAACATCTCTTCTAAAATCAAATTTTGAGGAAATGACAACTAAAAGTAAACTATTTTTTTTTTGTTAATTTTTCTTTAAATTACACATGATTTTTATCATTTGATATCTGTTCAATTCGAAAACCGGATAAACTCATTTTTGAGAAAATAAAAATGATTTGAAATCGTTGTAACGAAATAATTATCTCGCTAAAATGAGATAACTAACACGTTATATAACGAGATAACAAACTCGTTATAACGAGATACTAACTTTTTATAACGAGATAATTATCTCATTATGAAACGAGATCGTATCTCGTTATAACGAGATATAACAAGTTATTTCTTATTAGGAAGAAAAAAAAACCCACCCAATTTCCTACTTTCTGTTTCTTCTTCTTCTCTCTCTCTCTCTCTCTATATATATAGTTTTGCACAGGTTATTTATCGTGGAAAGCTAATATTAGATGGAAGTTATATAGTTTTCCGCCCAAAATATAACAAAAATGTCGAAAGCGGAGAAAAGAAGAATTAAACAAGAGTTACCTTTCTTTAATCACGATTTGCATGGCACTTTGAGCGTCTTTTTTTTTCATTGGAGGATACAGGACTCTATGAAAGAGGGCCAGACGAGCCGCGGATCCCGCATTTTAGTTATTTTTTTTTTATTTTTACCTATACTTTATGTACGATAATATTAACTTACAAATAGAAAAATTGATTTGTTCATCTTTGCTAAATTCTGTGTCACAAAAGGGATTAGCAGGCCCTCTCTAAATCCTCCACAGATAAATATCTCAACAAAACACAACCAGCTTAATTTTGTAAAGCATCCGTATGTAATTAGGGCTTAAACCTTAAAAAAAAATGTCTACAATAGACACTGAAAAGAAACAATCTTGTTCAAAACTTTTAAAAAATGCAATCCATTTAAGTTTCTATAGGTCAGTCAGAAGCAGTGTCCACATTGCTCCTAGTTTTGAATACAACTGAATATTAAATAAACTTCTATAAAGCAGTAACTCCCACCAGTGTTAAGCCTTTATTGGTTTGAACCATTTTTTTTTTTTTGTAATTTACAATATAACAAAAGGATTGGGCTTAAATGAAACTTATTGCACCCTCTCCCTAGCCTTTATTGGTAATTTAATGTTTAAAAAGTCGAAAAATTCCACACTGAAAAGCTTTTAACACTCTTTGAACAGAGCTAAAACACTTCAAGAGGATGCCCCGTTATAACATCTGTCTCTATGTGAAATGTCTGGACGGAGAATGGACGAGATCATGATTTGAAATCAGAGTTAATTATCTATCAATTTTGACAGTGTTAATTGTTTTAAAGAAGTATCTTCTTGAAATTCAGATTTTTGCAATGATGGAAAATCTGGTGAAGGTTTCACGGGTCTTGTCGAACGTCTCTCTTCAGTGAAACCACTGTCGTCATCTGAAGCTATCGTCCTATCTTCACCGTATGAATTTTTAAGTAGCTCTGTTTCAATGTGATGCTCATGTTGTCGGGAGTGTCCATCTTCTTCCGGTTGTGTAATTGATGACGTAGGAGAACCACCAGAAGACATTGAGATTTGGCTATCTGGTTGTGACATATTTCTTGTAGATAGAGATTCCTTTTCATTTAAAATTAAAACTAGATCACTTCTTTTCAGATGATCATCATTATCTGAAACAGAAGAAGAAGACATAAAAAAAGGACCGTTTAAAGTCATATATGGCGTATTTTTTATAAGTTAATCTTTCTATTTTTTTAATTACTTTATATACAAGAGGCCCAAGGGCCTTAACGGTCACCTGAGTATAATACAACAATTTAGAAGTTGAATACACTGATAGATGAAGCTTTGTTGCCCTAAAGCAAGAGAAGTAGGAAGATCAGGATCAACAAAATAATTAGTCTAGTATTCAGTATCAACTCATAAATTAAGTTCTAACCTGTCCCCCACTTAACACTATCACCATGCAGACTATCAACAAACTATTAGTGCTTCTGTACTCTTTTTAAACCCATATTAAGACCTCTAGCATTGACCTCTCTTATGGTCTTTGAAGAACTTTTAATAAGATAAGTTATTTTTGTCTCATTTTTATTTATCTATTACTTACAGGTCTACCTGATTATTAAAACTAAGAAAATACTTTTTGAATTATATGATAAACATTCTTGCATAATTATCTTATTCTATTAACCTTTCAAATACATTATTTACAGTGATTAATTATCAAAGGTGAACGGAAAAGGGGAATAACTTCTCTCAGTAGAATACAAATTAATAGAGCCCTGCCCAGGACTAGAATGCTTAGACAAATGGTCCAGATGTTCAAAAATCTCGTAGAAATACGCTTACTTATATCATTTAAACTTTTACTCAGTTTTCTTCCGATATGCCCAGAAGCAGAGAAGAATTTCACAGGTACAATGCATTTTCACTACAGATTCAACAAAGCCTTACCCTAACACCAGAACCCAAGACCAAGGGTCAAGAAATTCAAAAGCCCCCCCCCCCCATTATGCCAGAACCCCTGACCCTAGGACCACAAGATTTAAAAATTCTGTTCGAAGCTCCCATTTTCATCATAGCTAAGCAATTTATTTATCAGCTCAACACTAAGGAGCAGACAGGATTAATTACTGATTAATTAATAGAATTAATGCTTTCTCACTATATAATCAATAGAGCCCCCCCCCCCCTTTCCTCAAGAACCCCAAAAACTAAGGCCATATATTTAAAAATTTTGGAAGAGGCATCCTTGCCTATCATAATCTTGCACTTAGTTTGTTTAGATAATCTCCAGTAGCAGAGAAGAAGATTTTCAAAGAATCAATGCATTTTCACTATATAATCAATAGAGCGCTGCCCTAACACCAGAACCCCTGACCCTGGGGCCATGAAATTCACAATTTTTGAAAAGGCATCCTTATGCATCATAACCATGCACTTTGTTTGTTTAAATAATACCCAGGAGCAGAGAAGAAGATTTTCAAAGAATTAATGCATTTTCACTATATAATCAATAGAGCCCCGCCCTAACATCAGAACCCCTGACCCAGGGGCAATGGCTTTCACAATTTTGGAAGAGGCCCACCCCCTCATCATAACTATGTACTTAGTTTATCACCCTAATGCCCAGGAGCAGAGGAGAAGATTTTCAAAGAATTAATGCATTTTCACTGTATAGTCAATAGAGCCCCGCCCTAACACCAGAACCCCTGACCCTGGGACCATGAAATTAACAATTTTGGAAGAGGCTCTCTTGTTCATCATAACTATGTACTTGGTTACTTTATTTAATACCAAGGAGCACAGAAGAAGATTTTCAAAGACATAATGCACTTTCACTATATGATCTACATAGCCCCACCCTGGGGCCAGAACCCCTGACCCTGGGGCCATGAATTTCACATTTTCAGAAGAGGCATTCTTGCTCATCATAACTATGTACTTAGTTACTTTATTTAATACCCAGGAGCACAGAAGAGGATTTTCAAAGAAATAATGCACTTTCACTATATGATCTATATAGCCCCACCCTGGGGCCAGAACCCCTGACCCTGGGGTCATGAATTTCATAATTTCGGAAGAGGCATTCTTGCTCATCATAACTATGTACTTAGTTACTTTATTTAATACCAAGGAGCACAGAAGAAGATTTTCAAAGACATAATGCACTTTCACTATATGATCTATATAGCCCCACCCTGGGGCCAGAACCCCTGACCCTGGGGTCATGAATTTCACATTTTCAGAAGAGGCATTCTTGCTCATCATAACTATGTACTTAGTTACTTTATTTAATACCCAGGAGCACAGAAGAGGATTTTCAAAGAAATAATGCACTTTCACTATATGATCTATATAGCCCCACCCTGGGGCCAGAACCCCTGACCCTGGGGCCATGAAATTCACAATTTCAGAAGAGGCATTCTTGCTCATCATAACTATGTTCTTATTTACTTTATTTAATACCCAGGAGCACAGAAGAAGATTTTCAAAGAAATAATGCACTTTCACTATATGATCTATATAGCCCCACCCTGGGGCCAGAACCCCTGACCCTGGGGCCATGAAATTCACAATTTCAGAAGAGGCATTCTTGCTCATCATAACTATGTTCTTATTTACTTTATTTAATACCCAGGAGCACAGAAGAAGATTTTCAAAGAAATAATGCACTTTCACTATATGATCTATATAGCCCCACCCTAGGGCCAGAACCCCTGACCCTGGGGCCATGAATTTCATAGTTTCGGAAGAGGCATTCTTGCTCATCATAACTATGTACTTAGTTACTTTATTTAATACCCAGGAGCACAGAAGAAGATTTTCAAAGAATTATTGCATTTTCACTATATAATCAATAGAGCCCCGCCCTAACACCAGAACCCCTGACCCAGGGGCCATGAATTTCACAATTTTGGAAGAGGCATTCTTGCTCTTCATAACTATGTACTTAGTTACTTTATTTAATACCCAGGAGCAGAGAAGAAGATTTTCAAAGAAATAATGCACTTTCACTATATGATCTATATAGCCCCACCCTGGGGCCAGAACCCCTGACCCTGGGGTCATGAATTTCATAATTTCGGAAGAGGCATTCTTGCTCATCATAACTATGTACTTAGTTACTTTATTTAATACCCAGGAGCACAGAAGAAGATTTTCAAAGAATTAATGCATTTTCACTATATAATCAATAGAGCCCCGCCCTAACACCAGAACCCCTGACCCAGGGGCAATGAATTTCACAATTTTGGAAGAGGCACTCTTGCTCTTCATAACTATTTACTTAGTTACTTTATTTAATACTCAGGAGCAGAGAAGAAGATTTTCAAAGAAATAATGCACTTTCACTATATGATCTATTTAGCCCCACCCTGGGGCCAGAACCCCTGACCCTGGGGCCATGAATTTCACAATTTTGGTAGAGGCATTCTTGCTCATCATAACTATGTACTTAGTTACTTTATTTAATACCCAGGAGCACAGAAGAAGATTTTCAAAGAATTAATGCATTTTCACTATATAATCAATAGAGCCCCGCCCTAACACCAGAACCCCTGACCCAGGGGCCATGAATTTCACAATTTTGGAAGAGGCATCCTTGCTCTTCATAACTATGTACTTAGTTACTTTATTTAATACCCAGGAGCACAGAAGAGGATTTTCAAAGAAATAATGCACTTTCACTATATGATCTATATAGCCCCACCCTGGGGCCAGAACCCCTGACCCTGGGGCCATGAATTTCACAATTTTGGTAGAGGCATTCTTGCTCATCATAACTATGTACTTAGTTACTTTATTTAATACCCAGGAGCACAGAAGAAGATTTTCAAAGAATTAATGCATTTTCACTATATAATCAATAGAGCCCCGCCCTAACACCAGAACCCCTGACCCAGGGGCCATGAATTTCACAATTTTGGAAGAGGCATCCTTGCTCTTCATAACTATGTACTTAGTTACTTTATTTAATACCCAGGAGCACAGAAGAAGATTTTCAAAGAAATAATGCACTTTCACTATATGATCTATATAGCCCCACCCTGGGGCCAGAACCCCTGACCCTGGGGCCATAAATTTCACAATTTTGGTAGAGGCATTCTTGCTCATCATAACTATGTACTTAGTTACTTTATTTAATACCCAGGAGCACAGAAGAAGATTTTCAAAGAATTAATGCATTTTCACTATATAATCAATAGAGCCCCGCCCTAACACCAGAACCCCTGACCCTGGGGCCATGAATTTCACAATTTTGGAAGAGGCATTCTTGCTCTTCATAACTATGTACTTAGTTACTTTATTTAATACCCAGGAGCAGAGAAGAAGATTTTCAAAGAAATAATGCACTTTCACTATATGATCTACATAGCCCCACCCTGGGGCCAGAACCCCTGACCCTGAGGCCATGAATTTCACAATTTTGGTAGAGGGCTCAATGCTTGTTACAATGATGCCAACAGTTTGACTGCTTGATGTCCTGGAGTAAAGAAGAAGATTTTTAAAGATTGCATTATTTTTGGTGGTTTTAGCTCCACCCCTCAGGCCCCAGGGGGGCAGGGACCATGAAATTCACAATTTTTGTTCCCCTTCACCCATAGATGCTATATGCCAAATTTGGTTGAAATTGGTTGAGCGGTTTCAGAGAAGAAGCTAAAAATGTTCAAATGTTAACACACGACGCACGACGCACGGACGAGAACGGATAGCAATAGGTCACCTGAGTGACTCAGGTGACCTAAAAATAGGACTTTCCTGTAAATTACACAATTTAAAAAAATCGCGTTTCATAGATATAAGAAATTTAAAACAATAAACGATTTATTTACCGACTCCGCATTTAAATATCAGACACAGTTTAAAGTCAATTTAACTATAGAAACGTGGGATTACTGAAGTTCAAAATCGGCGAAAATTTTAATTTGATCGTAAATAACAAATATCATGTTCATCTACACTCAATCTCGTAATTTTATTTTTTAGCTCAGATACGCCATTTATAGCTTTAAAATTTTTATAGTCGCTGAAGCAGATGAACTAAAATTTTCAAATCTTAACAATTAAATATTATTTTCACGTGATACCCACCTGATTGTACTCTAACAGTGTGTGTTAATTCGTCGGTTTCTGTGGGATTTGTTATATATTTATATTGCCTCTGTATATTGTGTTTCGAGCGACAGAACATAACAACAAGTACCCCAATGACGACCAGAATGATGAGTAAGACGCCGAAAATCAGCCACAAAGCGGTTTCAATACCACCTACAAAAAAAATGTTATGAATTATTTCAGAGAGAGAGAGAGAGAGAGAGAGAGAGAGAGATTATGTATACATATGTACAGAGTATGATAGTTGCGCTAAACAATATTACCCCACCCCCCACCCCGTACGTATGCATGGATGGTGAATACAATATACGAATCAATAGAATTTGTTTTACCTGGCATATCTTCAAAATTGTGTATTCCTTTCGTTGAATTTGTGGACGATTCAGGAACACTGTATGTTAGTTTTACACCTATGAAAATTGAACAATAAAAAATGCATAGGTGAAAAACATTTTAATTCATAAATTTCAAGAAAAAAAAACTTTAAAAATATTTTTTAAAAATTTTATTTTAATTCATTTTAAAGAAATATCTGAAAACAAAACCTCATACTTAAAACAGAACTAATTCTGTTCAATGAAGTTAAAATTACCTTGGCAGTATGAGCGGCACTGTAAAGGAAAATCCTTCGATTCGCAAAGGTCATCCGAACAAAATAAACACCTTTTCTCATCCAAGTCACAATATTGATGAGGAAACGAACACGTTTGATCCCAACAATTAAACTGAAATCCAGGGTCCGGCTGTGAGGACAGGTTCAGTCCCAAAAGTGGCAAACAATATAAAACAATACAAAACACCTTCGTCCAGGTCGAGCCCATCCTGAAAAATTAAACATTCTTGCAACTAATGTGTCAGTACTAAAAATAGAAAAGGGTTTTTCCCAATATATTTAAAGAGATAAATTATTTATTAACATCAGATTTTTCTGCGTTATTAATTGTACTAAATGTTATTTTTGCTAAGGAATGTGCACTATAACATAACTTTTATTCGTCGCTTAAATACCTGAATAGGGTAATTAAGCAATATGGTTTAAATGTTAAAAATATATACTGGATTTCAGTATGCTAATTTTATCTCTATAAGTTTCAACTTATACTACTATTTTTGTTTATCTATTAATAATACAGGTATTTTCAGGTATTTTTCGGTTATTTTAAATTACAGATAATGCAATTGGAACTCATAAAAAATAAAGTAAAATTTAATCAACCAAAGGTACTAAGAAGTTTAAATTAAAACAATACCGGAAGGTTTTATTCCTACAAAGGAATACAGGGGCGGATCCCAAAATTTTTGTTAGGTTGGGTTGCGTGCAAAATAATTTCAGAGGCGTGGAGTGTGGGGCCGCCTTAAACCCCCCGTAGATCAAGTAGGTCAAGACGAAGCCCAGGTGAGTGTCCAGATTGCGAAGACCCCGGGAGTTCCTGAATTCTAGAAACTACATGTATTATAATGTTCTCCATAGGCGTAGTCACAAACGACCAGATGCACCCCACCCTTATAATATCATATTAATATTTTAGTATCAATAATAGAATTATGCAAAATTTTTCATGAAATTAGATTAATTTTCTTTTGGTTTTCAAGTTTATTTGCTCACATCGAATTGTGGCTTGAGCCCCCCTCTACTTGAGTGTTGCTAAAACGAAACGGAATGGAAAACGGAAACAAAATATTAAAATGATTTTTTTAAAAATATATTTAAACACAAAAAAGTTAATTCTTTCACAACGATATGATCTACAAATTTAAATTTATCAATAAGAAGGGGTTTTTTGACATTCCTATCTAGAGTTATGAAATTTCAATGCAAAGTAACGAAAAAATGACTTCAGATCCCCCCATCACCACCCCCCGTAAAACAACGGACCCCTCTTATGTATGGTAAGAAGAGCCATGTATCTGAAGAAAATTGACCTAGGAGAATATATTTAGAACATGAAATTATATTTTACCTTGTATGATTGCAATTATATTATGTCGTTCGCAATGGATATTATCTCGTTCGCACGACATTGTTTTTTTTACTTTAATCGATGCAGACATTTTTATTTACGAAAGCCCATTGAGCTCATTTTCGTAGATAAAAAAAATTCGCTTTATAACGCGTAACTTTCGCAAATAAACGCGAAAGTTTCGCGTTAATTCGCGAAAACTACGCGTTATAAGGCGAAATCACGAAAGTTACGGGTTATAACGCGAAAGTCTCGTGTTTATTCGCGAAAGTTACGCGTTATATCGTTATTTTGTAACATTATACATTTATCGACAGGGTTCGAGGGCAACATGCGTTTTGTCGGACCCAAGAACCAAACTGTTTGCCTGAGGCCGTTAGGCCGAAGGCAAACAGTTTGGTTCGAGGGGTCGACAAAACGCATTTGCCCGAGAACGCAGTCAATAAATTTTTTGTTATACCTTTTATTTATTTATTTATTTATTTTTTGTCATTATACATTTTTCTTTTGGCGCTAGGTTCCATACTAACGAATGCAAATAAGATTTAGATAATCCCGCCCAGTGTGACGTAAGCGGTCCAATATCTCGTCCACAGGTCCAATATCTCACTCTGCGGTCAAACATCGATTTTTTTATGACCGCTCAGTAAAAGATTAGGAATGTTAGACTTTTTTAAGTATATATTTATATAAGAACTAATTTTTTAAGGTAAAACAATTAACAATATACCTTGGATACCTTATACTTTAGATAACTTTAACAACAATTTAGATCTGTCAATAGAATCAAACTCTTTTTTAAAATCAATAAATTCACAATAGAGTCTTTTACTTTTACATAATGTTTTTGTAATCAAAGAATGAAGAGCAAAATTGCAGTTGACAGTTACATGGCTAAATTACAGCGCTACCTCGGTATATTGCTCTCCGTTATATCACCAGGGCAATTAGCCATGTACTGAAGGCTTATACCTCTGTAATTGAGTGGTTCTTAATGTCACCTTTTTTGAAAATAGGTACGATTTTGGAAAAAAAACGTATCTAGTATACATTTTGAAAAAGTTTATATGAGAACGGAAGCAGATTTTCCTGGAATTCAGTAAATATTCATTCGATCAAAATACCATCTCCACTGTGCGATTTTCCCTGCTTTAAATTACTAATTACTTTTTTTTAATTCATCTATACAAATTTCTGTATCCAGTTCATCAAACTCACATCCACATTCAACACTCACATGTGCAGCGTTTGAGTCACCAATTTCATCTACTTGAGTGATACCTTAATTTGAAGTGCTCATAAAAATCTTCTTATAATACGTTTGGTATTCATATTGTTTATTTTTATTGAATTTGGCAAAAAATTGCCTGGGTTTATTTTTCTTCAAAATGTCTAACTTATTACTTTCCGCTTGCTTGTATAATATTTAAAGCTTTTACCCGTCTTTCGTGTAAATGTGCCATCCGATCGCGAGTGAATTTGTTTGTATATATATATATATATATATATATATATATATATATATATATATATATATATATATATATATATATATATATATATAACAACTTTTAAATGTACTTAAAGTTAGAATATAATCTCTAAAAAGTGATTTTAAGTTTTAACAAACCAGGGAAGATAAGTAAGTGGGGTTTCTTGGACCATTATATTATGATATAAAATTAAATTATATATAGTTAAAGAATATAATCGCCTGACAATGATGCGTAGAGTTAATTTTATACTAGTCAAAAAACGTTACAAAATATCGATATATTTTTCGTTTGTGAGACCTGTACTGGAATACGCATATATAATATGGGATTATACTTGACTATCTAGTGGATAAACTTGAAGGTATACAACTAGAAGCTGCAAGAATAGTTACGGGATGGAATAGATTGGCGGCAAGATACTTGTTATACAGTTATTGAGACGGAATGGGAATCCCTTTCAAAAAGGAGAGAAAATGATCGTCTTGCTTAACTCCACAAAATTCTTTATAGAAAAAAAAATATCCTGATTATTATAATTGAGTAAATATTATCTCCGATTATGGCAATCATAATCATAGTAATATGTACAGCACTAGACAAGCAAACTCACTACAAGAAATTCAAACTAGAATTCAACCATTCTATAATTCTTTCTTTCCTAGTACAATACGTCTTTGCCCAAAAACCCCTCTCTTTTAAGTTTCAAATTATACTCAAAATTCTAATCAATCTAAAATATCCAATTTTTTGTTGGGAATAGAATTGATCAATTTTTACATACAAAACTCCTACTCGAAGGTAGTTCTCCAAATCTACATATGTGTCGTAGAAATTTTTGTAATTCTCCACTATGTTCAAGTCTATAACTGTTGCTATGCTCTTTTATGGTTCACAAATTCTTTCAGAAATGGAAAACAAAAATATTTTCCTTGTCGATCAGAACTTTCTGGTTGAAATTAAAAGATTTTCACAACATATCTTTCAATATCTATTTACTATTAAGACATTTTTTTTGTTGGTCTGATCATTGTTTCAATTGAAAATTTATGTGATCTGGTATGAATGAGTGAGGTTAATTTTTACTTTGTGTATGTAAAAAATATAATTTTTGGAGATTTTTCAATTCCAGTAAAACTGCACAATAATATATATATGAAAGCATATTCTTTCTGTGTGTATTATATATGTTTTCATCTACATACATGTACTCTTACTTGCTGTATGTGTAGAAAGAGGGATTATTATAAGCCTATTGGATTCTTTCCCAGTTCTACTGTATTTATTATCGGTGTATTTGTAACTTTGCCTATTTTGTCAATAAAATGTTGTTTAAACTAAGTTATTAAATTATCAATTTATTAGTTTTTAAAGGGGTTTGGACACAGATTTAATATTCTCTAAAATTTTTGGTATAATATCATGACTTATATGTTGCTATAGCATTTCACACCGAAATATAATAAAAGCATATTTAGAAATCTCTTTTATCTGGAAATAATTAAAACTACGAATTTCGGGACTTGTTTGATTGACACATATACTTGCACATTAACAAAGTAAACTTTATCCTTTATACCTAAGAAAACCAGACACTTTGTTGTGTATCAATGAAAAATATCAAAACTATAATGTAGAACAAGAATTAGCTTTCCTAAAAAGCTTGTCTGACTTGAGCAAATTTATTTTTACGCGAAGAATCAAGAAAAGTTATATCCAGTGTAATCAACATGACTCTGATTTATGAAATGAATTCTTTTGCTAAGAAACAAGAAAAGTTCAATTCAGTGGCATCAACATAAATAAAAGTTGGACAGGAATTTATTCTATATACACTATCTTACTTGTAATTTCTTTTTTTTTCATGGACGTAGGAACGAAAGGGGGGATTTATGCATAGCTATTTTGTACTTGTGTCCCCTAAATCATGTAAATATTAAATTCTGATAACTTTTTTTTAATAATATGCTCTATAAGGAATTTTTCATTGATAGTGTCCACCCTAAACTGAAAATTTCTGATATTTCTTCCAACGGACCTGTTCATGGATACAAAGATATAACCAGTGATTTTGAAAGAAAAAGCTACACCACATAAAAATCTAAAATCAATTGGTGAACAATTTTGTTAATTAAGAAATATTTCATTTATAAAAAATTACAAATGAGCTAACATCTTTGCATTTAAACAAAAGAACATTCAACATCTCTCCTTCACTTTGATACTTTTTTTAAAAATTATGAATAAATCAAACGTCTGCAAGTTACGAATATGTGTAGATTTATAAAAATTTTAAAGGTAGAGAGACTTTGTATGCATTTAAAATAAACAATCATTAGTTAATCTCATAAAGATAATCGACAAGTGTTGACCTGACTAGCTTTATT